CTGTGGCTAGCGTGTAAGGGACTGCTATGCAAAGCCTTCAGCCAGTCTCAGCACCACAACCTGTTCACAGACCAGTTAGGGTCTAGATGAGCTCTGCGGAGTCCGTGACTCAAAGCAGAAATGTCACTAGTTACTACAAGAATGGTCTGTGAAGAGCACAGGTTTGGGGTGCATGGCCAATACCCTCACCCAGCCTGGAGACTGTCCTCATCCAGAGCCCCTTTACCCACAGAGCATAATGCTCAAACATCACTGTTCAGACCTTTCCCCCTGTCCAGCCCTGCCCTGCCCACACTGTGGCCACAGCACCCACTGGCTGCCCCGGACTATCAAGTCTTTCTCTCAAAAAGCTGACTAAGAGAAATGGGCAGTGGTCATCAGGGGGCTTTGGAGTTAAACCATGACACAGAGGCAAGAGGGGAACAAAAGTCACCAACCATGAGCCCAAGTTCCTGGGAAGAGTAACTACCCATGAAGGGCAGAGGCTGGTTAGCAAAGGAGGAAGCAGAAGTGCGGGGAGATGCAGAGACAGAGAAATTGTGGGGCAGAGACCCAAGGAGTCCCCAGAGGAACAACTTCCAACCCAGAGAGACAGTAGGTGAGGGACCACTCTTGGCTCCTGGCTTCCTCATCCCCACAGAGTGAGGCCCGTGAGACTCCCATTACAGTCTCACAGCGACCACCCCCGAACGGTGGCTCGGCTTCCTGCGCCCACAGCCTCCACGGAGGAGGGGCACTGCACCACCAGGACTGGCTGGCCTGCTGGGAGTTTTTCTGAGTCTGTTAGTTCCTCTCCCCTACCTCCCTGTTCCAAATGAAGCCATCGGTTAGTGTGTCCAAATGAAGCCATCAGCACTGCCACCTGAACTGTCCAGAACAGAAAGCCAACACCCCTCCTTTTACAACGGAACCTCCAGAACTATCCTCACACAGGTCCTTGCACTGGCAAGACCCTCTCCACCTCCAGCTCACAATAGCCAATGTTCTGAAACACTCAGCACTTACCCAACTGCCTTGCCATAAAGGAACGAGGTATGAGCCAATGTACTGATTTCTGAAAGATGCTTGAGTGTTTAACAAATGCAAAATTCTTCAACAGGGATTAGCAAAAGCAGAGGAGAATGAGAACTGGTGTCAGACCTCGCGGAGCTGACGGTCTGGGGTCTAGGAGAATGTGTTGGGAGAATGCAAGGTAGTGAGTAACTTTAACTGGAGAAAGCTGAAAAGGTGACACTGGTACAGTGGGTTTCCTGCGGAGACAGGGTAGAGGGGGTTCTGGGTGCTCCCAGGCAGGGCTCAGGGAGTGGGGAGCACACGGACCCCCATGTAGCTAGCACTCTGGAAATGGGAGAGGACGCACGAAAGGCAAGTGTGGCTCAGAGGAGGAGGACTGGAGGGCCCACCACAGAGCCGGGGGCTGACAACAAAGCCACCGGGGCCCAGGAAGGCCCCAGAGCAGGATCACGCAGCGAGGGTCAGAGTCCATCATTTGTCCTTGGAATGCTTGTGAAGTTACCAGCCTGAGACAGGCAGCCAGTGCAACATTGAATGTAGCTGCGGAAAACAATTCCTCTCCAGTCATCGTCAGTTTGGATAACAGCTACGTGAGATGAGAACAGATGCTTGGTCCTGGGTCCAGTGCTGGAGCACAGGAGCTTTTCAGTAAGTTCGGTTGGCCCTTCGCCACTCCTCACATCAGAACTGTCTGTCTCGTCCCATCTCGGGTGCTCAGTAGCACTTGATCTAATGGCAGTGGAAGCTCAAAGCACAGCCTCCTCTTCAGCAAGTTAGGAAACACATCCTGAATGTCTGGAAATCTGATCAAATCCCCATATCTGTATTCCCTTCTTCTTTTTTAAAAAACTTTTATTCAATATGACCAGCCCCTTCATGCACTCTCTTCAGAGCTGATATTAATTATCAGAGGGAAAGAGATAATCCTGATCACTCCCACCACACCCCAGCTGGTGGACAGCACCACCTTCGTTTACGTAGCCCTGAGCAGCGTCACAGAGAGGCAGCATGACACACGTGTATCTGATGCAGGTGTGACAGGATGCATTCCTCACGCAGCTCCCCAACAGGAAAGGGACGCAGCTGGGCTCCGAAGGCACTTACACATCCATGCGAGCCACTGGGAGTGCAGAGGACCAGGACCAGGACCCGGAAGTGCGGTCCAGCACTGAACAACTGTGAGCGGCACTCAGAGGCTCCAGCGCCCTTTCCAGACTGGGCCAGGGAGCATGCAGAGGGTTTGGCCAGAGCCTGTGTTGCTGCACAGTGCCAGCCACTGCTGGCCTGGCAGCTCAGGGCCTGTGGTCTGAGCTGGGCTCCCCTCCACTGCCTCCAGGGCCCTTGCCAAGTTACCAACACTCTCTGGGCTTCACGTTCTTTGGCTATGAAGTAATGACATTGCCAGCATGCCTACATCACCACTGTCCTGCCAGAATAAAACAATTTGCCTCTGCTCAGCCCCAGTGGCCTTCCAAATGCCTGGGAGTCAGTGGAGCACTGAGGACCAGTCCGGGGGCGGGTGGGGGGGCACACTCTAGGGTGGACCTCAATACACCAGAAAAACTGCAGGAAGAGGGGGCCCTTGTGACATGTCCTAGTTACCCAGATGGCTTGGAGTTGCACAGGGCCATCCTGGGCCCCATCTTCCCCCATAGACCCAGGGGCCAGCCCAGCAGGGTCACCCAGGCCAAGCCAGGCTGCAGGGCCATCGCGGCACTCACCCAGTGCCTGCAGGCTGGCACCTGACACAGCACCGTCTGTTTATCCGGATTCGGAATGTACAGAAGCCAAAGTATTGTTGGTTTAATTTTTCCTTTTTCTTGTTTTAAATTTTTAAGCTGTTAACTATTAGTGCCTATTTGCTTTCTCCAAAAGCACATTTTTTTTCTGATGAGAAAAAATAATCCTCCTCCTGCCCACCTCTCTGTTTACCTCCTGTTTTCAGTTCTCTATTCGCTACTAAAAATTTTTTTTTCATTTCATTACAGCCCAACCCAGCCAGTCTCTGAGGCTTTGGGCACTGACATGGATTTCTACAAGCATGTACTATGCATTTTTTTTCAACCCTACCAGGCAACCTTCAATCCAAAAGCTGGTATACACCTCCCAAGTTAATCAGCCAACCACAGAAACGGGGAAGAGGCCAGCTCTGTCAAGATCTCTATCGTCTGTGTAAAGACATCCCAGAGCTACACAAAGCCACTCATCTGGGCACTTTACTCGTGAAAGAAGGAAAGGCTTCTGGCAGACAGGCTGACGCCCACCCACCAAGAGGCTGGGCTGGTGGGCCCCGTGGTCCTCGGGCACCTGTTGCCGCACAGGAGCTAAAAGTCCTGAGCCAGCTGTGGACGAGGCTGGGAGCTGCACTGCCTGAGTGGAATTCTAAAGGGGATTCTATCACCTCCCACTTGGGGACCCACCTCTCATGTCTGATCCAGACCTTCCCGACGGAGGGGGACCCCACACAGCCTGCGTGGCACCCTCTCATGGGTCCCACAGCCACTGTCAGCACCTGGTTAGAAACTGAGCCTCCTGTTTCCCAGTGCTTTTAGGATGGCGGGAAGAAGAAACTGCGCCCACGAGCACACAACAAACTCCCCGCACGCCTGGCACTGTAACAAGCTCTCAGGACCCTACAATCAAGGTGGAAAGTACAGATACACTCGGCACAAGACGAGAAGCAATGGAAGGCAAGAGAAAATCAAGCACAAGCCTGTGTATAATAACTAAGCTGCCCTAATTCTGAGCCAACTCATCCATAAGCACCCTCTTCCAAAGTCCATGGTGGGTGTGTTTGTTGGGAAAATGCCTCAAAACAGACTTAAGCCCAACAAAGCAGTGGACGCAGGTGCGATTTGTGAATAACAAGGTTACAGAAAAGCAGCTTGAAGTTCTTTTCCATTCTGGGTCCCCCTCTGAATCTGTCTCCATCAATGAAACTCCTCCCCCACCATAGAGATGGTCTGACCTGTCCACACAAGCCTCCTTTCACTACCATGGGCATGAAGGGGGCAATCGCCTTTGTTTTTCCTCAATAACCCAGGTATTAGATGCTCTGAATTATCAGAGAAAATCCCTCCTGCTTTTTGCCTGAAAGCTGACAATGAACAAAAAAGATCCTTTCTATAAAAAGGTGACTTCTAACCATTAAAGGCTATTTCATTCCCTTTAGACTCAACCCATTCCCCTTTCTGTGTGCCTGTTGTTTCACTGAAGACAGGTCTATTTCTTGCCGGTTACACAGTTTCTTGATATGCTCAACACAGGAAGAGCCCTCCTTCCCTGTCTGAGCCTGGTCCCAGCACAGCATTAAAGACAAACAGTTTTATGAAGTGATGACAAAGGTTTCCTCTAGGTCAAAGCTGCTTGGATGAGACTGCAGGGCTCCTCTCCCATGCTGGCTCTGTTCCCCCCGGAACCAGCCTCTCCTGTTATTGCAGGCACACACCCGCCGACGCAGCTGCGTTCAGATGGGGACCCACACTGGGCCCGGCGTGTGTTGCGAGGAAAACATGGGTTGGGAGCCAGTGGCATTATGTGAATACGCAAGAAGAAAGGTGCTCTTCACACATGGAGGAGAATGCAAACCTCTTTCAACTCAGTAATGTACCACATCTTCAAACTTATTAATAAGAAAGCGTAATGTACTAGGAAGGTGTTCCTGACATAAACTAGCTTTGACAGAGTTTTTAAATGGTTCTAGCTGAGGCAGTATCAAGCAGTTACAAGGGAACAGAGAAGCCGAGCGCTGAAATGCAGTGCTTAGCAGGACAGACTCCGTTTCGTCACCACTGTTTATTGATGGCCTCCTGGGGCCCGGCCCTGTGTGCGATGCTCCTGGAGCATCCCAGTACCTCCACGGACAGTGTCATCCTTGCCCCTCAGCCCCCTCCCAGATCCCAGCCAAGTATAAGGAGTGGGAGGGTTTTGTTACACACCCCCTGCCAAACCCCCGAATCAGAAGAAAATGGTGGGTGCTCACTTACCCCTCCTCAGACATCCTGGCCACAGCGGTGCTCGGGGGCCCTCCGTGGGCTCTCAGTGCATGGCGGCCCTTGTCAGAACCCGTCCCGGGTCCTGTCCCCGGGTACACCTTACCGTGTGGGACGGCAGCAGGGCCATCCTCACACCCATTCAGCAGGCCATGACCCGCTCTCACTCTGGTCCTCGCTGGCTGGCGCTCCTCATAGTGAGCCTCGTGGGGTGCCTGAACATCTCTTGACAGCTTGTATCCATGAGAGATCAGGAGGTCTTCTACACTGTACATAATGCACCAGCCTCATCCAAGCTCAGCTGCTGGGGTGGTCGTTGTGGCAGGACACGCACTGCGGGGACAACAGAGAGTGCTCATGAGGACTCGCCAACTCCCCCTGCAACTGTGTCCAAACCAGTCCCTGGTTGGGAACACAGCACAGTGCCTGTACCGAGCATGGACATGGGGACTGCTGCCTGAAATGACTCCCCATCTCATTCGGGCACAGCGTGGAAGCACAGTGCTCTGCAGGGTGTGGCGATTATTCTGGGGCCCCACCCTCGGATGGCTGCCTCTTGTAGAAGTCTCCAGAATGGTGTACAAGCAGTGAAATGATTAACGGTGTCCACCATCCCTTGCCCCAGTCATCTGAAAACAAGAGGGATAAGGAGAGAGGACAAAAATAAATGCAGGCTCAGAAGCTGCAATTACTACTTGGTATTTCTAAAAAGAGAAACTACCAGCCTCTGGTTTAATCTTCTTATCCTTCCCTGCTTTCATCTCATAGGCACACCTTTCACTCTAAAAGGGCAGAACTAGATCTGTAATCAACACAAAGTCAGGACACATGTCAGCATGGTGCACTGAGCAAGGGCAGCTACAGCTGGAGGCCAACTAGCCTCCAAAAACAGACCCTCAGTTTTCAGGCTCATCATGAGAAAACACACAACACACTGATCAAGCATTCACAACCAACCCACTGCAGAATCCTGAACTTCTCTTTCCCATGTGAAACTTTTAAGAGTCAAATTCTCCCCCAATAAATCTTGAGGAAGCAAGCATTCTGCATCTCTGGGCCAAGGATGTCCACATCCAAATCCTATCATGGTACATGAATTCCCTGCAGCTACTTCCCTGAGTAAACTGTTCTCAGGCCATAGTACCAAGAAAAAAAAATGGACAAGAACCTACTCAAGAACAGGTATATGAAAGCAGGTGGGGCTGCCACATTTCTGTTTGTACAAGAGAATCATCTTTCCTACATCTTCTCATTGTTAACAGGGTGGAAGGCAGTTTGGTCAGCTGGACCTGGCTCCCCAGAGGCCGTGATGTGGGCCCGGACAAGAAGTACACCATCACCAGGCCGGTGAGCACTGGCCGGCTCCAGCCCCGCTCCACTGGTGGACGGAAATAGTGCTGTGCAGCCCCGCGAACAATGGCCAGGAAATGCCTGCTGCCCGTGTGCAGGTGAAAGGGGACACATGTGCTTCCTGTCAGTAGGAGTGTCTACCAGGACCCACAATGCTCTGACTGCGCATGCCTTTCCTCCTCATCACGAACTAGACGACAGCAGCAGCCAAGGCTCAGATACCAGCATGAACAATATGAGACTCTGGAAGGCTCTAATTTTCCCTTAGGTTCCTACATATTATGTGAGGTTGACAAGCTCTGGCCACTGCTGCGCTAGTAGAGAAATCTCCGTAGAGAAATCTGCTGTGTGACTTCTAGGGAGTTCACTTAGACGGAAGTGGAAGGACCAAAGAGGCAAGTCTTTGTTCTTGGACTCAGTGGAGCAGTCACTGGGCTGCAGACTACAGAGGAGAGAAGATCCATTACAGACATAGGGTTGGGGACAGGGATGCAAGGCTAGGGAGGCAGGGCCTGTGTTTGATGCTACACCCCTAGAATCTGGCACATAGTATGCTCTCAAAATAACTTGAGTGAACTCACAGATGAAAGACACACTTGAGCTAGGTTCTGAAGAATGATTAGGAGTTCACTAGATAAAATGCCCATATGCACATGTATGAGATGGGAAACTGACACTTAAACTAGATTTTGGGTACAATTATTCCAGCAGTAAAGAAATAACATAACAGAATCCTGGCAGCCTAGACTAGGGTCCCCAGACTCACTGACTCAGTGTCACACACCCCATCACCTCCACAGCTGAAGTCAGATTTTAGGACTTATGTCACTCAGTTTCTCACTCGTGCTATGTCAGGTTCTCTAGAAACAAAATGCACTGCACCCCACCTAGCTATCCCACACACCGAGGGACAGGCCAGTGTCCACCACAGAGCTGGCTGTGCCATGTCCATCGTTGGACTGGTAAGTAATTACCGTCACAAAACATGTAAGTGGCTTATTTCCCTTCTGGAGTTCGGTAAATTGGTCCATTATAGCTATGTCTGCATGATAGTTATATTTAGCAAACCCTCAAGTGGCAAGACAACCCAGGCCAAGCCATAAACATCTTTCAAAAAAGATTCAAGCCTTAGGCTGGACTTCTATCTCATCTCCACCCCCATACTAAACGTCACCTCTCCCTTACACAGACTGCTGAAAGGTCACACAGTTTTTCTAATACCTGTTGTAGTCAGCTTACTTTCTTCAGCGTTCAAATCTACTTAGACTAGGCCGCCTCAATGACATGTGTACTACAGCAGTCACCAGGAGGGGACACGGAGGGGTTAAGGAGAAGCATGGCCCTTCTGAAATTTCTTTCCAATCCTGAGACACCAGCACTCAACATCTACAGCATTTAATCTGATCACCCACCTACCGCCTCAAAGAGTTGCTAAAAAGACAGACATATACTAAAACGATCAATGCCAGTTATTATAACAGGTTTTACAACTTGGCAGATATGTGTGCAGCTCAAATAACAAGGCACTAGGGGGGACAGTTTTAATCCCATGGCTCGTGCTGATACCCAGCTCCAGCCATGATCCTTGCAGCAGGTCATTAACCACAACAAACCTCAGTTTTCTGATCCACAAAAGGGCAGTGCCGCTATCTCCTGTCTCACCAGACGCTTTGGGGGCCAAATAAGAATATGCAGGGCTTCCAGGCAAGAAGGAGGCGTGAGTCAACATGGCTCACCTCCATGCACAACCATATCAAAACTATAACTAAACTATAGAACAACCATCATTCAGAACCATTTCATTAAATTCCATGAAAGTCTGACAACTATGGAATTAAAGAATCCACATCCATCCAGACTAGTAGAGCAGTGGTGACGTGGAATGAGTTGGTCCCACATCCATGTGTGGTGGATGAAAATTCGAGAGGGATATCTTGGGAGTGACGAATCCCAGCCCAACATGAGGCCCCGAGGCCAGGGTTCCAGTGCCAGGAAAATAAGTCTCCATTACTTCTGGCTGCAAAAACCAGTGGAGATTGAATCAGTGGAAGAAACTTCTGGAATTCCAAGCAGTTCCTCTTAAAGAACCCAAACATGTGCTCTCTCAGACTCACTCCCCCTGAGCTCCAGCATGAGGGTAGTAGGTTGAAAGGCACCAGTGGTATATGGGGAGGAAGTGAAGTGTCTGTCATCAAGACAAGAGCTAGAGGACAGCTTCCACACAGACAGAAAGGCAGGCAGAAGCCACTGTCCCTTTTCTGAACCCTCCCCCCACAAAGCCACGGGGCTAGCAAGCGGGTGCCATATCTGAGACTCGATCAATCTGGCTAACACTGTTTGCCCCACCCTAGAGATCCCCTGAGACTCAGTCTTATACAATTTATGGGCCCACCCAAGCTGTTAACGGTGACTTTTCCATATGAATGGCTGGTCTTGGCTCAAGCATCATAACTTCCTAAATCCCTCAAACAAGCAACAGTCAGCTTCAATGAGTCCCCAGCCCCTGTAACTCTTGCTAAGTGGTCCTAGCCCCAGCAATAGCAGCAGCTAACCTAGAGTCACAGCTTGGTTTTATCTGGGAATCTCCAAGCCCAGCACAAGTAGCAGCCATCTCAGATTGCTGTATAGCTCTAGCTGGGTGGCCCCAGGCAGAATACAGGTGGGGGCTGACCTTGGCTTACACCACCCAGCAAACCCCAGAGCCTGTACTCCTATGTGGTATATAGCTACAGACCATGTAGGAGCACAGCTACCCTGTCCCTGAACACTTTGTTCTCCACAGAGGGTGGAAGTTGGTGGTCAATGGTCACAGCCAGTCCTTACAGCTGACTGGCCTGGATAAATCCCTCTTATAGACCTGACAATAGCAATCAAGGCTCAACTACAAGAGGAGGGTATACTCAGCCCACAGCAAGGGCGCACCTCAAGTACCCAGCTTGGGTGATATAATAGGATGTGCCACTGGAACCTACAGGACACCTACTACATTAGGCCACGCTACCAAGACAGGGAGTCATAGCAGCTCTACCTTATAGACAGAAACAAACACAGGGCAGCTGCCAAAATAAGACAAAGAAACATGGCCCAAGTAAAAGAACAGATCAAAGCACCAGAAAAAAAAAAAACTAAACAAAATGGAGATAAGCAATCTCTCAGATGCGGAGTTCAAAACACTGGTTCTAAGAATGCTCAAGGAACTTAGTGAGGACCTCAACAGCATAAAAATGATTCAGTCAGAAATGAAGGGTACACTAATTAAAATAAAGAACAACTTATAGGAAAACAACAGTAGAGAAGATGAAGCTGAGAATCAAATCAATGATATGGAACATAAGGATGTAAAAACCAACCAATTGGAATAAGAAGAAAAAAGAACCCCCCTGCAAAAATGAGGACAGTATAAGCAGCCTCTAGGACAACTAATAGGTCCAACATTCACATCACAGGAGTGCCAGAAGGAGAACAGAAACAGCAAGAAATTGGAAATCTATTTTAAAAAATAATGAAAGAAAACTTCCCTAATTTGGTGAAAGAAATAGACATGCAAGCCCAGGCTGCACAGAGAGGCCCAAACAAGGTGCGTGCGAAGAGGCCCGCTCCAAGACACATCATAATTAAAATGCCAAAGCTTAAAGATAAAGAGAGACTCTTACAAGCAATAAGAGAAAAGTAGTTAGTTACCTACAGGGGAATTCCCATAAGACTGACAGCTGATTTCTCAAAAAGGAGCTTTGAAGGCTAAAAGGGACTGGCAAGAAATATTCAAGGTCATGGTAAACAGGGACCTACAGCCAAGATTGCTCTACCCAGAAAGCTAACATTTAAAATCAAAGGGCAGCTAAAGAGCTGCCCAGGCAAGGAAAATGTAAAGGAGTTCATCACTACCAAACCCTAATTACATGAAATGTTAAAGTAACTTATTTAAGAAAAAGAAGATCAAAACTATGAACAATAAAATGGCAAAAACTATATATCTATCAAGA